GATCTAATGTTTGTATTTAAGGTACTTTTGAGAATGGGTAATTGTATAAAGGATGTATTTGAACGGAAGTGTAATGACATGCTTTTGAAATGAAAGGTGTTTGGAATATTTCCGCCTTGTAAATTTATAATCAATCAAGTTTCCAAACTGTTCGAGTAATGTCTTTCAAAAGTAATCACTGCACTTTCACGAATAAGGATTTTTAAAAGAGAATTTTCGAGTTATGAAAATCGGGTCCTTACACGCACTACGCTACTTCTTTCCCTAATTAAAACATAATCAACAATCATTTTTCAACTAAAGAACTACGTAACGTTGATTCCCTTTACAGGGATATGTAGGACCAAGGTATCACCTTGTCAGGCACAACAAAAATAAAATAAAATTATGTCACTTCTAATAATTAATTAAATAAACCAAATAATTATGAAAGTAAAAAATATGCTATATAACTTAGTGAGGGGTACCGCTTAAAGCGGGCGGATAAAGTGATAATACCTTCCCTAATCTGTAACTGACTCCCGAACCTGGATATCATAAATCTAAAGCCCAATGTAATTGGGCTAAAAGAATAAATTGTAATTTTAGTTTACAAACAATTTAAAGTTTTACATCTCTATTTTGTATATTTTTCAAAGTATTATCTAATAAGTGAGAGATTATTTTCCTTGAGTATGGCTAGATACATAAATGAAAACTCACCCCAATTGTATATTTTATATACACGAAATAAGGGTCGAATTCACTCAACCATTGATTATTATTTGTAGTGTAGAAACAATTACTTTAGTTGTTTTAGCGAGAGATAATTTCATTTTAAAACAACATATTACCAAAGATAAAGAGGATTACTTTATATCATTTGTTAGTTTCTTCAACAAAAAATTGTTCATTAGGATTAAGCATTCCAAAACCAGGACAAAATTAAACTTTTGATTAAGGTTCGCAACCAACTAAGCAACTCAACATTCATTCAAAATTGGACTTGTTACTCACTTCAATAAAGTTTATTTATTTACAAAACATGAAATTAAACTAAAAATTGAACTTGTTCATAACTTTATTATATACATTTATGCATGAGAGTGACGAAATTAAAAAAAAACTCATAAAGAACAATAAGTTATAGTCATAAAACCATAAGATTAAAAATTAATTAGTTAATAATTATGTACATTTATATTTAAATCAAACAGTTGAAATAAGATTTAATGACACTTATTAATTATTATCATTTATCATATTAACCGTTTTTCTAACTTTATATATATACACACACATAGAAGAATTTTACTACATAAAACTTTAATTAGTAGCTAAAATTATTATTGAAATTCACAAACTTCACCTTCATGTAAATGTATAATCCACCAACTTCTTGTTGGTCTTTAAATTTTGATGATGAGCAATATAAATTTAAACTCATTAACTCGCTCAAAAGTTCATGAATTTTAATTTATATGATATAAAAAAATATTTTGAAATTAAACTCCATAGTAAATCCTTAACTAAGCAAGGTCATACAAGCCAAGTTCAACTTTTTATTTAGTCACATAATTATAATTATTTGTTTGTTAAATTAACATTGTCAATCCTAGTATTAAGTTTTTTAACACCCATAAATGTTAAAATATCAAATTGATTCAACCACCTAAAATAATTAAGAACCAACTTGATATTAACTGATAAAAAAATAATTAACTTCATATAGATCGAAAGAGTAATTTTACCAACAACATACTAAATAACTATTTTTGTTGTTGACAATAATAACCTACTTTATTTTAACGTAAGATATGCTTCCATAATATAAATAAATGTGAAATGTTATATAAATATGCTCTCTTTATCTTAAATTTATTATATTCTTGCATAATTCTATCACACCCGAGTTTACTTTTATGCATGTGATTTATAGGTCTAGTTAAATTAATAATTCCTATGGAAAAATAATTATTAATTCCTAATGGATCAAGTTCCCAAATTCTTGACTCAAGGAGAAAAGAAATCCGGATAGTATCGATTAAGACCAAAAGTGACTGAAGCTTATAAGGCTCTCTAATTTTATAGAAGATAATTTAATAATTCAATCTTTTTAGTTTCATGAAAAGTTTTGTGAAGTTCTGGCAGAAGAGCAAACTGCTAATGGTAACATATTACAAAAGGAAATTAGAATACCATATAACTCATTATTATGCAATAAACTTATGAAGTACTTATACCTCAATATCCTTCATACATAAACAATATTAATACTCTTCTAGATATGTATCAATAGAATATCAAAATGATTTTTTTGAAAAATAAAAATTATAAGTCCAATACTTTTTCAGATACTCTACGATACTCTTAAAATATATTTCCAATACATTGCAAACGTCCAATATATCATACAAAAACATTTAAAGAGAGAGAAAAGGAAAGAAATCATAACACAAAATTAAAAAAAAAAAGTATAAAATAGAAACATAATATTCAATCTACTAAATGGGCTTGTATTAAGAGGAAAAAAAGACAAAGCTTATATATACGATTTTAAATAATGTAGATCAAGTCTTAAACAAGATTGATACAATTCCTAATTGTGGAATTGTGGAAACTAAGCAGTGACTTCTTCCGATAATATGATTTTTATTTTGTATTTAATGATTTATAAAAAATATAATTCATAACAACGATTATATGTTTATTATGTTTTATAAATCTTATCTACACATTTTATATGCTTATCCCGAACATATCATATTGCACATTTTAAGAATATGCGTAAAAATATTGGATACTTCGTATCGGTATCTAACAATAACAATCACCTTGTAAAACATGTTATTCAAATATCATCTCTCTGCCTATGTTATCATTATAAGAATTAACATGAGACAAAACAATGCTATAGTTCATGGATGCTGCTACATGATATAGATATGTGAAAGCACCATCTCATTGTGGTTTCATAGTTATAACTAGGGTAAATGTGATGTCTAGAAGTCAAATTTGCATGTCATTAAAAGAACTTACTTCCAAACATTAAATTGAGAAGACACTATTAGTTCAGTTAAAAATCATACATTTCAAGAGAGTAAGAAAATAGGGAAAACAGAAACAGAAACTAATGGTCATTCATGTTACAACAAATTCAATAATTGAAGAGAACAAGAAACTATATTAGATTCATGAATTCATGCACGATAAGAACAAAGTCAATTGAAGCTTAGTTTTACAGAAGATCAGTAAACAAAATTTGTTTACTCATAAGTCAAACATTGTAGCAAGAAGATAAGTTATGAAAGAATTCTATCCTATAAGTTCTCAAGGTATTATCAAGACAAACATTGAATAAACAGAAGCTACATGTGAACTGTTACCAAAGCAAATTCCACCTCTAGTTATTGCCTGTAACAGCCATCGCATTTAAACGCCGCGGTTGCTAGCTTTTCGAACCAGTGTTCTCCAAAGGATGTCTTCTTATATCAAACTGGTTTACAGACTCCAAAGGAGTAACCGTTTCATTTCGGATCCTCTTGATTTTAGGGCTCAACAGACCACGGTGCCTAAAGCCGTAGAGCTTGAGCACCTGATTATCTGCAAAATTGAAAGCCCTCTCCATGCTACTCAGGCACCTCTCGACCGGATAATCTCCGTAGCTCCCACAAGGCTTACAACCCACAAAATGTGTCACGAATGGCCACCTCTCATCACCTAACCCCGGATGGTACTTCTCCATCATCTCCTCGTACCGGTCGACCAACCCGGCCCAGTAACCATGCAAATAAAATGAGTTCTCCAAAAACACTTTACCCATCCACTGTTCTTTCTGGGATAGCAACAAGTATATCAATGCCGACTGATCATCTGCCTCAAATGCCGGTCTCCCCTTGAGATTCGCTGTCAAGATCTTCCCAGCCTCTTCTCGAACCGGCCCCTTTGGACCCATCGGAGCCCAAACATCAAGCAAATCCAATGACCACTGACAATTCCGAAACAAAAAGCTTCCGGTATTGACCGCGATCCAAGACTTCTGCTCAAACAACAAATCAGGGTACCCATGAAGGACCAAATTGTACTCATCGTACTTCGACAACGGAAGCTCAAACACCATATCAGTGAAAAGTGCATCACTATCCATCCACCAAATCCACTCAATCTCAGGGTGTGAAAGCATCAACCTTCTAATCATAGGTAATTTGGCCCAATACCCAGCAAGTTCCTTATCCAAATGTGCCAAATTGTACACAATCTCAATGTTATGCAATCTACAGTAATCAATCTTGTTCTTAATTGATTTCAACAAGTAATGATCCCCAATTGGATTATCACATGGTTTCGGTGGTGACCCAGTTAGGAGCAACACACGAGGTTTACCTTTGATGAAATTAGGGTACTCAGGGTTCTGATCCAACCATGTTTTTCGTTCCTGATCCCAATTCTTGATCTTGGGGCCAAGCGTGAACGTGATGTTGGGGTTGAAGAATGTTTCCTCATCGGGATCGTTGGGATCGGCGTCCGATCGTATCTCGGCGAGGATACGGTTGGTCTCCTCCACGAGGTTCTGGTTGACAGCGTCGGCGTCGGAGGATCCGAGGTTGACGCCGATTGTGCCGCGGAGGACAAGGATTGTGACGAAGCCGCACAGGATTGTGATCTTAATGTTGTTGAAAGTCTTTTGGATTTGACGGCCACGTGGCAGAACGCCGCCGCGGGATCTGTTAGTTGCGGTGGTTGTGGGCAAGGTGGCAGTGGTGGTTCTCTTCTGAGCTGAGAGGTTGTCTTGCCCCATCTCTCTCTTTCTCTCACAAACACAAACTCAATGAAATTATTTAGTAAAATGTAGCTTCCAAATTTGTATAATAATAATAATTATTATTTTTATTGGTTGGTCGTGTTATAATTAACTTAGATTGAGTGTGAAGAGAAAAAGAAAAACATGGTTAGGTTTTGGTGATGGAGAATAGAGAGAGTGAAGAATTTTGAGGTGAAATAAAAGATATAAAGCCAACAACTGGTTTTCGTGTCTACCTGTGTCACCGTGTTAGAAAATAGAAAGGGAAACAGAGACTAAGAAAGACGTGTCCACCGACTTTCTGGGTATTATATTATTTATTTAATTTTTTCTTTTTTTTTTACCTACAAAAATATCTAAATTTATGATTGTTTCTCCCTGTAAATATTGATTTTTCATAATTTAAATCATTACCATTTTGGTTTTTCTAATTCTTTCCAAGATCTAACGGTTTTCCTTTTTTTTCCCACTCCCTTAGGATGAAGCATTGAAGATCCTTCCATTTATGTTTCTATAATGGTAAGATTCATCTCAACAATAATAATGATCTATTTATATTATTTGTTTATAGCTCAATTTTTAAATTTTTAATTAACTGTTTATATTGAGCGTCACATCAAATTCTCACCGGCATGGACTTTTAGATCCAGATCCCATACAGTTGTAATTTGGATCTATTCAAATCCATTAACGGTGTTATTATTACAGTGTAATTACTGATTGGATATAATTGGATGAATGACATTTAATTTAAATAAAGTGTATTTTTTTAGTACACGAGTACTTCATAAATTAGAAATAATATGTATAATTAACTCTATACAGTTTCAAATATCTCTATGTAATGTTAGCTATTAAATTGTCATCAAAGTTATTCTTCCAAGTGGATGTGATAAGTCAGAACTACATAGTAATGTATTCATTGGATAGTATAATTTTGGACCCGCATAGTAATTTTGGACCCGCATCCCAAAATAGGACTCATAGCAAAATATTCATTCTTATCAAAATCCCCTTAGGTAAGGCATCTACTAAAGTTTGATGGTTATTTGTGAAGCCTTTTACCTTTTATTCTATTAAAATATATGACTTATCATCTTTATTTTAGGTTAAAAGATAGTATAATCAATGTAACTATGCATACCACAAATTTTGATCACATAATGATCCACGCAACTTCTTATTGGGAGTCAATATAATACACCATAGCTCTCAATGTGTATCTATGTAAAGGTTTATTATGATCTTAAATGAATGACTAATGAAATGCAATTATCAACTTCTGACTTCTAAGTCTAAAAATATTATAGTTGACCTTATTAATTATAAATATAGATAATTATCAACCAATAGAAATCCATTCTCCTAGTGATACTAAGTTTATCATCATAAAGACATCATCATATTTAAACAATTGACCTAATAGTATTGCCTAGAAATTCCTAAAAAGAAATCTGTGGTTTATTTATATGATTTGGATGGTAGATTCAGTTTCGATTATTTTAACACTCTTAAACGAAATTGTACCTACATTTCATTTCTCTTCATTTTTATGATTTTCTTATTTCATTTCTATTTATTTTTAAATGAAATGGTTCATTGTTCTTTTGACTAACGAAATAATCCTCAATAATTTTTATGACCAAGAATATGAAGATATTGATGCTGAAAATGATCATTTTTTTAGGGACATCACTGTCGCGTGAGAGCGGACCAACTACAAGTGATGATTTATATACAAGAGATGATCATGATGAGGAGCTTTGGGTGAATCAAATTCTTCATGAAGACAATAATATTACAAGCCAAAAATCATCAAAGAAAATAAAAAAGTAGATGCATATCTTCGTATAAATATAGCATAATTTTTGTTTGTTTGTAATTTGCATATACATTGTACTTATATTATTTGTTTGTAATTTTATGCACTCAATCAAACATAATTGGCATGATATTCTTCGTTTGTAATTTGTATTGATATTTTAATATTACAAATATAATTTAACATGATATTGTGTTAATGTTCTCATTGTCTGTTCTAGCTTAAATATAGTTAGTACTATGGATATTGTGTTGAGAATGTATTGTTGTTGAGAATATAGTTACTTCTATGGATAATTTAGCTTGAATATATATGTTGTTGAGAGTGTACTTTTTAGAATGTATATGCTGGTATTATTGTACAAATCAACAACGCATGCTAGGAGGAGATCTAACAAACGCTTTTGTATTTGAAACATATAACAACATAGGCTAAATAGGGCGGTGTTAAATTGAGTGCTGCATAAATTGAGCGGTGCATAAACTGTGACTGCTTAAATTGAGCATGTTATATGTAAACTATATCACAACACTCATTGTAACAAGCGTTGTGGTACATATCCAATACAAAAGCGCTCCTTTTATTCCACGTTATGGTATAGATTACATACAACAACGCTCCTTTACTTACAATGTTCGTTGTGGTATTGATTACATACAACAACACACATGATAATGTACGATGTTGTATATGATCAATACAACATCGTTCCTTACATTGTCTGTTGTTGTATGTTATTTATCTAACAACATACCTTTTAAGTTTGCTCTATTATATTTGTCAATAATATAACATTGTTTGTTCGAGGTTGCGTTGTTGTATGTATGGTATACAACAACGCTATTAAAGTATACTATATACTAGTGCAATCAAACAGACAATGCACAAAAGCGCTATTATATGCCTAAAATGAGCATTATTGCTTTACATATCTGGCGGCGTAGTGGAAAGTTCTTAGATCATTGACAAGAGCGTGACAACTAAAAGTGACAACAATATTAGAAAAGAAAAGTATGTCAAAAAATGACTTTTGCTGCATTTTTTTTTTGAAAAATTAAAACTTAACCAATTGGAACATCATGAAGAACTTGAAAAGAAACAAATGCCTATCTCCTTGAAGGAAAAGGCTTATTCATGTGAAATTTTACAAGGCAAAAATTTGGAAGAAGACAAGAACGAAAACATAACTCTCCTAGTAAAGAATTTTTGCAAGTTTTTGAGAAATAACAAGGCCATGAAATAAGAACAAGTAAAAGGTTCATAAAACACAATGAGGCATATACATCAGGTCAAACATTTACTTGCTTTGAATGTCAAAAACCAGGACAGATCAAGTTTGATTACCCTTCTCTTCATAAGAAGAATTGATTCAAAGAAAATAAGGACAAAAAGTCTAGAATAACATATATTGCATGGGAAGATAATGAAGTCAGGTCAAACTTAGAGCTTGAAAGGAAAGAACAAACACATCTTTCATTTATGGCTTTACATCAATCTTATGATGACGAGGTCAATGACTCTGAATTAATTGATAAACATTCTTATGATGAGTTACAAAATGTCTTTAACGAATTACATATTTAATCTATTAAGCTCTAGAGGCTATGTGCTAAACAAAGAATAATTTAGAGATTCTTAAAAATAGTAATAAAACTTGGCAAATGTTTTTAGACATATACAAACCTAAGTATGGTATAAACGATAATTGCTTAACGTATGAGAAATGTACCTCTCTTGAAATAAAAGTTGATAAGTTAAATAGGGTTATGAGGTATTATGAGAAAGGTGAAAATCAATTAGATAAATTGTTAAGCAAACAAAGACAAGCTAAGGATATGAGTGGACTAGGTTATTCCACAAAAGGTCAAAAAAGTGAAATAAAGAAAACCATTTTTGTAAAATCCAGTAATAATGATAGTCAATATGTTCACACTTGAAAGACATATAACATCAAATCTTTCTATCTTCCTAAATGAAAAATGCATGATAAGAAATCCAATTGTTTTGCTGTAACACTAAAGGAGATACTCTTAATTCATGTCATATTAGAAGATTTGGTGTACCAAAGTATTCAATATATATAGGTGGAGAAATGTGCTAACCCTAAATGAACAAAATCAAATTGGGTACTTAACATGCTATTCTAATTTATTTTGTTGAAGTGCTTGAAAGCTGTAAGGAAAATCTGGTATCTTGATAGTATCTGCTCAAAGCACATGGAGAGACAAATCCAAATTCTCAATGCTAGCTTCAAGAAATAATGGATTTGTCACCTATGAATACAACAACAAAGGAAAAATCTTTGGTTAGGTAGAGTTGGTAAACCACTTTTCACTAATATTAATGGTGTGTTATATGTTGATGGTTTAAAGTATAATTTACTTAGTATAAGTCAACTATGTTACAAAAGCTCTAATGTTGTGTTTTCAACTCAAATACATACATCAAAAAGGTAAGATGAACCATGACACTAAACAAATTGGTAACATGAAAAACAATATTTGAATGATATCAATAGATGACTTATCTTTGAAGGTGAGTTATCATATAGTAAGTAGTGATGATGCATGGTTATGGTATTGAAGGATAACGAACATTCATATGGGTTATTTAAGTAAATTGATTAAGCATGAGCTTAATTTTGGTTTGCAAAAGATTAAATTTGTTAAATACAAATTGCTCTTATGATATTTGAGGACTATTCAAGATTTATTTGGACATTATTTTTTAGTATAAAAAATGATGTTTTTCATGCTTATAAAAAATATGCAAAGCGTGTTCAAAATAAAATGATCTTGAAAATTTAATCTATAAGGAGTGATCATGGAACGAAATTTCTAAGTTCTAACCCGAGCGGCTACTATTACTTTCCATCCCTCACTCCCAGTCAAATGCCTCTGGTCTCCCGTCTATGCCCCTCACTCCTTCTGCATCACTCATTCACTCTCCTTCTGCTATTATCTTTGCCTCTGCTATTTTCTCTGCTTTTTATATGCCTATGCTATAAGACATTTTAGCCATATATACGTTTCTATGAAATTGGCAATTAATAATGCTATGTTACCTTTTATACACACACTTTCCACTATAGAATGTTGCCAAAAGTTGGCTTTAATTCTATTTTGCATGATTATAAGTTAGTACTTAGTAATGCCAAAACCTTTTATGCATTTCTAATGATATTTACTATTTATTTTGTCTTCAAAATTCGAAACTGCAAAACTTTATTGACATTCTTTTTAATGTGTTCAATGCTATTGTTACATGTTATTCCAATTAATTTATTACTTATTGGCTTTAATGCTATTTTTACAATCTATTCCAATTAATAATGTGTTGTTATTCATTTTAATCATTATTGTTATTTTGTAATTAAACTTTATTCCCAACTTTGTTTTTGTTATAGGTAGAATGTAAAATCCACAATATTGTAATCCTACCCAAGAAGACTTTATCGTGCAAACTCCATCAAATATTGGGAGTCAAATTCAGCCCATATGAATGTGGAAATAACTGCAAATAAATATGATACTCTATACTCAACTAAAAATGAAATCGAGGTTATGAAACGAAAATTTGTTTTACCTACTTGGAAACACTTTGAATTGGTGGTAATAGATGTCAAAGAGATAGCATACATGAGGTAGTGCTTAGCTTTAAGGTGAAGTTTAGTGTTTACCTCATCACTTCTAGAGAGGGCACCAACATTATCATTCGGTTTTGAATACCCATTCTCAATCAAATCCTTGATATTTGAATTCTTATAATCCATGGTTGTTAACATATATTGATTGCTTGTTCTTCATGCTACATGGTTTTGATTGTACTACCTTAACACTAGTTAAATACTCAACCTTAATTAGAGGTTGAGCTAGCTCTGATACCAATTGAAGTTTCATAGGCAAATATAAGAAGGGGTTGAATTGTGTTTGCTAATTAACTTAATTCCAAAAACATCATTTTTCAAAAATACTTTACTTAACCAGCAATATAATACAGACAAAATGATAGAGATGAGAGATGTATTTAATTCAAAAGTAATATAAGGAAAAAACTTAAACAATTTGGAAATATTATTTCCTTTAAGTTTAAATCCTCACAGTTACTAATAAACTAAAGTGGACACATGATATTGTCACCTATGGGAAGGGTTTCCATGGACCCTATTGTTCCTCATAGTTGCTATCAGTGGGAACTGTTAGCACTAGGGGTGACAAAACGGGTCTGTCCGGCCCGTCTTTGGCCCACCAAATATGGGTTGGACTGGCCCGACCCTTATTGTTAAAATGACTCAAAATGTCAGTCTGACCCATATTTGGCAAGACTGACAGGCCGACGGGCTGACCCGTTTTTTTTTTTACAAAAACACATTTATAACCAACTCAATCACAATTTCAAAATTAAATAATCATAACACCTCATAAATGTATTTTAAAACAAAAAATTAAAAACTAAAGTCCATAATATCACAATAATATATCATTTTGGTTTAAAACTTGTAAGTTCAAAACAACTAGCCAACACAGTCTTAAACTTTTAGACTTCTAGTTTACAATAAAGCTTCAAACTCCTAAGCTTTAAACATTATATATTTTGTTGGAAGTGTATGCCTCCACTTTTCTATGCAAAAAATATTCTTTTGAGAAAGCATGTATAATCAATATTCTTTTGTATATGATATAAATTACTCATAGATTACTTATCAATTGTAATATTACATAATAGTATAATCAATTTAGTATTAATATTACTAATCAATTTAGTATAATGTGTGGAACCTTTGCAAAAGTTTATTAATAATATAAAGAGTAAATTACACTAATATTCCATGAGTTTTAGTGAAATTACACAAACTATCATTCCATTTTATACACTTACAAAAAAAACCCTTAATTTTTAAACATACATTACATTGATCAACCTTGCATAAGAAATGTAATTTTTTAAAC